TCCTCGCTGTTCCCTGCCTGCGTGCTCTGTGCCCCAACATTGGGATTGGCATAATTGGATAGGTCGGTATTTTAGGGAAAAGCGGCCTCTGGGGTTCATAGGTACTAGTCTCTTAGATCGGATTCCCCGAGGTCGCAAACAAGAGCTTGGACCTCATTTCCCGTCCATTCATGAGGTCCTAGCTTCGCTTGGGCCAAGAAAGTGAACGGGGGAGGGGGGAGGAAAGAGAAGGGCGAGGAGGGGGGGGGGGGGCCTTTGGGGGGAGAGAAGATGGGATTCTCTTGTTTTGGCGGTAGAGAGAGGGGCGGGAGGGGGCCCTTGCATGAGAGCCGTGCAGTATCCGTAGATATGGCAGGTGGGTAGGTATGTTTGTTGGTCTTGACTAAACGCGATAATGGAAGTCTGTGTGTTTCTTGATGCTTTTTTGGTTGTGGTTTGATGCTATGCGTTCACCGAGAGCTTCAACAGTGATTTCCAAGCTTTTTATTCCACGCACCTGTAGCCATTCAACTCTATGGATATCGGCAGTGAGAGTCAAATAGCGCCTAGAGCCCAATCCAAATGCCTACCTTCCATTAGCTTCTATGTGAAATTTTGCCCACCTAGGTAGCATGATACGGTAGGTTGTTTGTGGTAAGCTCACGACGTCGGATATGACGCAACTGTAGGTAAACTCATCTCTTTTCAGCAGGTCGTTCCGTATCGGATCTGTAGCCACGCGAACCTTGCTGTTCTCTACCTAAAGGCGGCAATGACGACGAATTCTGTACTTGCCGCCTCCGCGAGGGTTTAGTGTGCCTTCTTTGGGGGCACTGGCTGGGCCAGCCGTTGCCAGTCCTGCAGTGCTGGGGCAAATGGATATGCAACTGAGAATGAGAGGCGCAAGCAAATCCCGCTCCCGCTCCGGCCGGAGGTCTGTTGTGTTGGTCTATGGGATTGGCTATCTACATAGTTTACCCTTGTCAAATCGTTGTTGTAAGGCTCGCTAGAACCTCGGGTCAAGTCTGTTCACTCAGTGAAACATTTGCTTGCGAACATGGTCTTTCTTACAACCGTTAAGGTAACTTGAGATACGTTAGGCAAGGTTGATAGATACCCATCTACCCTGTTGGCGAGAAGGAAGTGAATGAGCTGAGGAGATGTTGGTAATGTGACCGACCCCCTCGTACACATTTGATTGTTGTTGGTGCAAGGCGGTGGATGCTGCGAGGAGACCCAGACTCATACTCAGACGTAGCACTGCCAGAGAGGCAGAGTGCCTAGGTAGGTATCCGTGGCGTGGCCTCTCTTCCCGTACCCAAGTTCGCCTCACAATCCCGTCGCCAAATGGCCTTTGGACGAATACGCTCGACTGGCCATTTCCCTGCTTTGCCTTGACCTTAGTTGCTGAAAGGCAGGTTAGGACTCCGTAGGGAAGTAAGGTAGTCCCATTATGGTGGTTGTGGTTGGTAGTACGTACCCCCTCTCCGCGGCAGCGTTGGAGTCGTCACCTTCCATTTGCTCCGTCCTTTTTGGTGTCCGTAGAGCAAGTCAAGGCCAGTAATCCAAGCAACTAAGGTGCTTGCCCCAGCTAGTTGTCCACGACTGGCTTGTCCTAACGTATCCTGCCCTGTCCTGTCCCGCGTTGCTTGCGCCTTCCGTATTGCACAGCAACACTGCTCGCCCCCGGGCTACTGCTACCGCACGGCGCACTCTCACTGCCTTACAACACACCAGCTCACCACCTCCTCCTGTCACCACAACACGCGACCTGCTCTGCCTTCACCACCCATCCAGAAAACTCTTCCTACTCACAACCTCACCCACCCCCAGCTACGATTGAGTTCGGGTCATTTTCCCCCTCCTTCTACCTCCCTCTCTTCTCTTGCGCAACCTCACAATTTTGGCGCGACCAATTTCCTCGCATTACCGCACCCCGAACTCGAGCCTCTATTACCTGTGATAGCAGACCCAACACCTCTCAGGGATCGACGCCTGTCCCCTGCCCAATTCCCTTGCGATTCGGATACCCCGCTTCCTCTCGAGTGTGCGCGATCTAGAACCTTTTGCTACCGCACCACCTTCCCGTCACCTCGCCTCTTTTTTTCCTCTCAGCCTTCTTGCGCACGCACGACTGGCTCTGAAAAAAATTCTCCTCTCCAGCAACCTTACGATACCGACTTGCGCTTCCGACCACGATTTGACCGACCCAACATCCAGTCAAACCCGGTAGCTGCGCTGCCGACTCATTGCATCCGTCACCATGGGTCAAACTCTCTCCGAGCCCGTTGTCGAGAAGGTATGTCATGATCTATCACTACCTCACCTCTCTTGACGCGCTGCCTTGCCTCGCTTTGCCCATCGCCACGCCCTTATATCCCTTCTGCTTCCTTCGCGGTCTCTTGCTTGATATTCGCAGCCAGCCCCGGGGTTCCCTCCGAACCCCCGCCTGCCTCGATCGTTCTTGCCCGTGATATCGCGCGGGCAGGCGATATAGCGAGGTGGCTTGGATATTTTTTTGCAGCAATGTCCACCCGATGACGTATCTCTACAACTCAACCTTACTTTGATTCAACCCACTGACTCCATTCTCCACGATTATAGTCCTCGGCCAAGGGCGAAGATGAGCGCCTTCTCTACGGCGTCTCTGCCATGCAGGGCTGGCGCATAAGCATGGAGGATGCTCACATCACCATCCTCGACCTTCTCACCCCCGGCAGCGACGAAGCCAAGAAACACGAGTCAAAACTCTCCTTCTTTGGAGTCTTTGACGGACATGGCGGCGACAAAGTAGCTTTATTCGCTGGAGAGAACATTCACGAGATTATCAAGAAGCAGGAGACCTTCAAGAAGGGCAATTACGAACAGGCGTTGAAGGATGGCTTCTTGGCAACCGATCGGGCGATTCTTAACGGTAAATTCACGACCTCGGATCCGGCAGTTCCTGGAGGCTGAGCCGTACTGCGGCCTTGGCCTACACCACTTATTGTCCCCTATACTGGATACATGAGCTAATCTTGGGTTGACCAGATCCCAAGTACGAAGAGGAGGTTTCTGGCTGCACTGCCTGCGTTGGCCTGATCTCGGACAACAAGATCTACGTTGTGAGTTTGCTTACGTCCGCTTTTGCGCGATGTATTCGCATTACTTACCGACCGTTCCGCGACTAGGCAAACGCTGGCGACTCGAGAAGCGTTCTTGGTATCAAGGGACGGGCTAAGCCCCTGTCCCAGGACCACAAGCCCCAGCTCGAGGGTGAGTACTTGCCCATGGCAAAGGCATCAGTACCCTGAGCTGACTTTATTTCCCGCCCTATAGCCGAGAAGTCCCGTATCACAGCCGCCGGTGGCTTTGTCGACTTTGGTCGTGTCAACGGCAATCTTGCTCTCTCCCGCGCCATTGGTGACTTCGAGTTCAAGAAGAGCGCAGAGCTCTCGCCCGAGGCCCAGATCGTCACCGCCTTCCCTGACGTTGAGACCCACGAGATCAGCGACGACGATGAGTTCTTGGTCATCGCTTGCGACGGTAAGCAGGAAATACTGGGTATGGGCAAGGGATCACTGGCTGACAAGATTCTTAGGTATCTGGGATTGCCAGTCTTCCCAGGCTGTTGTCGAGTTCGTCCGTCGTGGCATTGCGGCCAAGCAGGAGCTGGAGAAGATCTGCGAGAACATGATGGACAACTGCTTGGCCTCCAACTCGGAGACCGGAGGTGTTGGCTGCGACAACATGACCATGTGCATCATTGGTCTTCTGCGCGGCAAGACCAAGGAGGAGTGGTACGAGGAGATTGCCAAGCGGGTTGCTGCTGGAGACGGACCTTGCGCCCCTCCCGAATACGGTACGACTGAATCCACGTCCGAATCCACATCTTCCTAAGGAGTTGAGCGGCGCGCCGACCTCCATCTGCACTATCATGAGACGAGTCTCTCTATCCCCATAATACAACCATTATCCCCCTTTTGTAGCCATCGTTTGTTTTTGTGTCCCATAATTTCTTTCCAAAGGAGGAGCGCTGATCCATCACCTGCAACTAGCTGAATTCCGCGGTCCCGGAGTTCACCACAACTTCGACGACAGTGACAGCGGCTACGACGTGGATGTGGAGAACAAGGGCAAGCCCTTCGGCATTGGTGGTTACAAGGGCCGCATCATCTTCCTTGGCGATGGCACCGAGGTTCTGACCGACTCTGACGACACGGAGATGTTTGACAATGCTGAGGAGGACAAGGATCTCGAGAGCCAGGTTTCCAAGGCCTCTTCTGCAACCAGCAAGGATAGCGTGGCTGAGGACAAGTCAGCCCCGAAGACGGAGGAGACCAAGGCGGCTGACAAGACCGCCGAAGAGTCAAAGCCGGCCGCAATCCCCGCATCTACGGAGTCGCAGAAGATTGAGAGCGCGGAGAAGTGAGCTCTTAGCGGCTGGCGATGTCGACTTTCTATACCTTGATGAATGATGTGGGTGTGCACTTGGGCCTGGAAGAGAGACCGGACTCAACGAATCCGTATGAGTTTTAGGAAGGCTTGAGAGACTTTCAAATGGCTTGGCTGGAATGGATGACTGAATGTTTCTCGTGTTGTTTTCCTCATCATGTTGGGTGTCCTGGAGGCCGTTGACAGGGTTGTGATCAGGCAAAGGGGGGCACGAACAGCAGTTGCGGCGGCTCAGGAGGGGAGAGAGAGAGGGCTGGCCGCATGTTGAGAGAGTCCAAAGACTCAATCTGTGCGTGCTGTAGCTAGTAGCCCTCTGCGGGCTCACCTAGTTGTCACGCTTACTTATGATCATTTGCATAACCCAACCAACCCTTTTTGAACCTGCTACTTTCTTCAATCGCCTTTTCCCGGAAGAGTGGTCTTTTCTGTCACTGGGTTCGAGGGGATCTGACGCGTCTGTTGCTCTGGCTGCCGACGTGTATTGTAGATCAAAGACAAATCACCGTCATGCCCGGGCACCCACGGGCAGACGTGTGGAATCAAGAATGTGATATGCTGATATTATGTTCGCCAGGCCGTAATGAGGAAACAAGTTCATCTTGGAAATGCGATTATGTGATCAAATATTTTCTTGTACAGAATTCTATGGGTATTTTCCACTCCCAGCCCCGATTTGCCTCCTAGCTATCTATCCTACAAGACGGGGATTTGATTTGTTGTACAGGGATATTCCTAATATAAATAGTTGTGCGGATTGGCTTTTTTCTCTATACCGGGACTCTGGTTCTGATCCCCCTCGTGGGGCGGCAAACCTTTCTATAGTGACCTTTTGCGGCGACGTGATGTCAAGGTTTCCTAAAAACCAGTTAGACACCCCGTCCGTCGTCTTCCACGTCTTCTGTTGCCGGTATAGTGATCCCATCAGTTGGTACTATTGTGGTCTTGGTTTCGTCGACGGACGATGGTGGCAAATCATCTGTGGCTGCAATTTGCTGAATTTTCAGTTGCCACTGATACGTCCGTAGGCCCTTGCCGTTCCGGTGATACATGACCGTGACTCCCGGCGTAGTGACGCTGCGCAGTGGCGTAGGGGGGGAATGCCGCAGGCTCTGCTGCTTGGCCTCCTTGACCGCTGCAATGACTTTCCCGTCGGCTCCCCAGGCCCACGAGAGAAGTTGATGGAGCGGGTAATAGGGCCGCATCTTGTGTTCCCGGAAGTAATCGTGCGTGGCCTTGCTGATACGGGCACCGTTGACTTGGTTCGGCCCCGTCACGTCCTGGTCGAACCAGGACGGCAGAGCGGAGGGTGAAGCGTGAGCCTTAGGATTCGGCTCGATGGCGTTCTGCAGGACGTCTTGCGGGTTGACGCCGTACCGCCAGTTGCTGATGTGATTGCGCATGTCCGAGCTGGTTCGGCCCGCTATACAGGCGTAACGCCAGATGACGCCCATGGCATTGGGCCTATTAAGCCTGAAGGCCAGGAAGAAGAGGATGTGGTATGATTGCTCGTTCATCAAGATGAAGTGCTTGTGAGCCTTCTCCAAGGCGGCCGTGGCGAATGTGAGGTTGCGTTGGGCTTTCGCATGTTGAAGCATCGTGTTGAGCGTGAGCGTGGTGGGGAAGGTATTCCGGGACTCGGCCATGATGTCCCAGAGGTCGCAGCATGAGGCAAAGTTGCCCATACGTCCGAGTTCGTTCATGATTACATGCATGACGGGCCTCGAGGACCAGCCCGTACCGTACTTGACGGTCAGGGTCTCAAGGAACGAGCGGATACCGGGCCAATTGTTTTCCAACTTGCGCATGTCGTCCGTGACGAGTCGCTTCGTGATGAGTGGCACGACGCCGGGATCCAAAAGTAGGCCAAGCGAGTGCATCAGTCGAAGAACATGCTGAAGGATTTGTTTGCTCTCAATCATGTCCATATACAACGCCCATGTTTTGGCATTTGGCTGGCAACCATAGCTAATCATCATCCCTAACAAGCTGTGAAAGTTGCTGAGATCTTTCACCTTAGCACAGTTTTCCAGCATGATGTTGAAAACGCCAGTATCCATCGAAAACGGTGCATCTCGCTGGCTCTGGAAGAGGTCCCGGGCATGATTCCTATAGGAATTGCCACGTAGCTCAATAAAACGCAATGCCTGTTTGAACGCGCGCCTCGACCGCGCATGTCTCGAAGACTCATCTGTGAATGCGCTGAAAAGTAGCTTGAGAGCCGCGTCGTCTGCAGCGGGGCCCGCACCGTACATCTTATACTTGTCGTGCGTAGTGATCCTCGCGTTTGTGATGGCGGTTATGTAGGCCAAGAATGTATCAGGCGTCCATTCTTTCGGTTTCGGGATACTTTCGTATTTGTGGGCGTGTGAGTACTCCTTCATATACGCCGGACGCTGGTTTTCCTCGGAACTTTTCCACACAGTTTCGTTTCTTGCTTCAGCCACCTCGTCACGGCCCGTCGTAGAAAAGTTGCTGCCGATGGCTCCTTCGATGCTGATCGTGCTGTCGGCTTGAGCGGCAAGTCGAGATATCTCTCCGCTTGCGTGCTCCAAAGCCTCTTCGTCGCCCGAGAAAAAAAGGTATCCCACTTCACTAAGTGACCCGTCTTTATCCTTTGGCCATCGCATCTCGATATGACATCTCGTTTGCTCCTGTATATCCCAAATAGTGTGGTCGACATCGTGAAGGAGCGTATACGCGAGTTCAACCCCAACTGTGATCTTACGCACATTGCGCTGCCAGGGCCCTTTGATAGGTCGGGTCTGTCGTCGAAGGAGGTCCAACGTATTGCGCCAGTTGCTGAACGACCCCTTTTTGACCTGTCGGACGGTCTCGAGCCAAATTTGCCTGGTTATGCTTTGGTGGAATCGCTGGCTGCTGGCTCGAGATTCCCGTTGCGGCTGGTAACGTATCGTCGGTGTAACGAGTATAGAGTCATGCTGCGCTTGAGTAGGGCTCGTCTTGTCCCGTCGTTTCAGCTTGCGTTGGCTGGCATCTTTGAGTAGAGATACTGTTTCAATAGGTTTTCGACATTCGCTGACGTGATCAAGTGGATTCAGCGGCGTAGGTTTTTGTGTTCTTTTCGGCCTTGTGTCCGGACCATCCCCCGGCGTTAAATTCCCAACTCTCGATGGAGTCTCGATATTTTCTTCTTCCGCTGTCTGGCCTTCCAAGGTAGGGCTCACGGCGGCATCGCTGGCTGAGGTGGTGCCATGGTTCGGTCCTTGATCTCTGATTTGAGGTTGTATCGTGGAAGTCTCAACCGCGTTGGGCCTGACTACATCGGCAGCTGTGTGCACCCATTGACGAGGAAGTGGTAGTTGAGCTTGAGGTGCCCGAGACCATCTTTGAGGAGCCCTGGAAATCGGAGAGATCCCAGAGGAGCCGATGCGGTGAGATCGGGCTCTCAATGATAGCGTGATTCCCAGGGACATTTGCTATGAGTGGCCCATGTTGTGTGCTGGGCTTGAGATTTGTTGCATTTGGAGTGATGGAACAAATGTCGTCTGTCTCGTTGAAGACGCGGGCAAGCTATCCACAGAAGAATTTCCACTTCGCGCCGATTGATCCCGGTCTTTCGGCCCCAGAAATTTGACCCGACCCCTGCCGGCCGACGACAGTGTGAGCGACAAGTGACATTACCATCTTGCACTGTTCATTCGACGACCTTGCTCACCACGGGGTCTTCATCCCACAGCAACGTACCGCAGGCAATGAGTAGCAAATTTGTATATATGAAGTTGGGTATACAAGAAAAGTATAATTACCACCACCACCCCGTACCTATTACTTCTTTGGTGAACCAGGCAAAGCACCCGAGTTGGGTTGCGCAGGACCGCTCTGATCAACGCCCTCCCACCCCTTATTCCATCCTTCGTCCTCTGCCACAGCGTGTTTGGCTTCGCCATTCTCTGCAAGCCCCTTGACATCGCTCCAATACGAGAGCCTCTTGACTTCTTCATCTGCATGCTTGATCGCCGCTGCAAGGTGTTTCCTTCTCTCTTCTCTTTCTTTTGCCTTGTCTGCATCTTCATGTTTCTCTTCGTCTGCAGCGACCGCTTCATCATAAATCTGGGTCAAGCGACTCAGTAGCATTCTTCTTGAGGCCTGGAACACAAAAATGCCCATAACATCGTGCATCTCCTCCTGCAAGTGCTCGAGATTGTCTTTGGCGTGTGCGAGATAATTCTCAAAAGCCTCAATCTTTTCGCGATCGATGCGGGAGCCTCTGAGGACGGCCATAAGCGTCCAAACGTCTTCAATATCCTGCTTCTCCTCCGCCACACTAATCTGTTCACTCGCCTTACTAACGCTTTCTCTACGGCTGCGCGCCACACTAGAGGAACGGCTGTGATTGGCAGGCGTAACAGTGAAGTAGTCGGAGTTCAGCATGTGCGGGTCCTCCGATATGTCTTCCGGTTTCTTCTTGATGCGCTTGCGAACCCAGCATCTCCTCCGGACGAAGGAATTCCACCATTTCGGACCATGCCAGGAATATCTTTTGGAGAACATGAACGAGTACTCCCAGCCGAACTCGTCCATGGCTACACCTTGTTCGCGATGTATCTTCCACTCAGGCCATGCCCACTCCCAGGACGGATCGGGTACTTGTGCTGTCTTGGTCGTGGTAGGACTCGTCTTGTGAAATTGGTTCGTCCAAGGCGAGGGATCGAGGTTGCCCAAAGCCTTGCCAGAGAATAGGGCGACGCGGCAAACAAAACAGCCTCGCTCGTTCTCCCAGAGCACGTCAATGGCTGTTTCTCGTTCGGCAGTGATTGGTCTCCTTCGTTGACTAATGCTTCTGCCGGGCATTGTGCCTTCTAGCGGCGTCGGTTCTATTTTGGTATGTATTATCAGAACCTGCACCATGGACCGGGAAATGGATGTCTCTTACCTTCGACCTCAATAGACGGTGCTGTGGTGGCCGTTGTCGTTTGGGGTTCGAGAGTGGGAGCACTCTGGTGCCTGGTGGCTTTCGACTGTTGACTTGGTTCTGGCTCTTCTGAGCGTCCAGACGTACTCGCATCTTGATCGGCGTTGTGTTGTGTACTGCGGTCTGCATCTGGTTCCGCATCGTGACCCTCAGTAGTATCCTCATCACGGAGCAATTGCGAACCGGTCGACGCACGGGGAGGTCTGCTAAGGCTATAGGTGCTTGGTGAACCGCGGTTATCATGGTTGACTAGGCTGATTTCGTGGTCATAGTCACTATCTTTCAAGCCAGTGACCCGACGAGAGCTTCGAAAGGAAGGCATCGCTCTAACGCTGTATCGCAGCTTCGCGCGCCCGGTTACAGAGAATCTCCTTGTTGATGCCGCCCTGAGGCTCAGCGCCGGAGTGAGACCGGAACGGCACCCTTGGAGGTGAAAGGGGTTTCGACGTTGGAGGGGTGAAGAATCGAAATCCGGGCCGGAGGTGCTCTAGCTTCCTTCTCGGGGATGATTGGCGGCTCCCGCCTTGGAATGGTGGAATACAGAAACGTAGTCTGGGCTACCTGGACATTGTGCCGAATTTGCTCAGACGAATAATGTTTCCAAGCGCGCCCCGTTGAAAGGTGGGAATGAAAAAAGAGGCCGTAGAGGGAGAAGGCCAATGTGAGGCTACAGGTCGATGGTCCGACGAGCGAGGAATTCAGGGAAGTCAATTGGGACCTCTTCTTCGGACCTAGCGTGGGCTAGACCACCATCGGCTGGCAGTGGCCAAATGGAGGACGCTGAACAAGGCTAGCACGATGCAGCAATAATGAAGGAAAAGCAGGAGGGAAGTATTGGCGTTGGCGCTGGCTGGACTTGGAGGCCTAGACCCAAAAGCTGAACACGGGTTGGCTCATGCGCTTCACAGGCCAGCCAGTACGGGAAGCCTGTGAGCCTGAGAGATGTCGCGTACCCAGCTCCGGCGATGATGTAATGTCCCAGCACTCCATCGAGCGTCAAGCCCCCCTAGTCACCAGTTTTGCGTGCCAGAGAGTCAGCTCAAACAGCTGTTTTCATGCTACCTAACATGCAGACCTGGCTCTGAAGCACATGGAGCAGCACTGTGAAGCCATGGGCAATGGTTTCGTCGGCAAGCAAGACCATCGGCCGAGATGACCACCCGTAAGGAGACCTGGATGAAGAGAGTAAACGTTACGGAGCACATCGAAAGTGACAACTGCTTTTCGGAGCTTTGACAAGTTGAGGTGACGCTGGAGATCCAGTGGATGCTGCACTCTTACCAGGATCAGGTCTGAAGAGGTACGTCACGACTACTTCATCCTCCCCAAATGTCTTGCGCAGTCTCAAGGTATCATGCCCGTCCCCTCTGAAGGTGATGGCCTGTGCATGCTGAGTTCGTGGTCCCGGCCCCAAGTGGAGCTCTTCGGCCAGGAGCGGCTGGGGGGCAGCTACTTCCCATTCCCCGCATTCATGTCGCTCTACGTCATGTATCCCTCACACCTTCACGTCAACCGGAGCTTTCTCAGCTCGAAATGTTCCTCGCCATGCTTGCCCCAGGTCGTCGGTAGTGCAGCTCACTGGTGTGATTCGGTGCCCAGGAGGCGTGTGGGAAGGAGTGTAACCGCGCAAGAAATGAGACAAGAGCTGCGGCGCCCGTGATTCGGTAGCAAGGTACTAATAGATCAAGCCATCCGGTTCTTCTCTCGTGACGAATGCTGCTTTTCTCTCCCTTCTCTCTCTAATTCAATCAATCAAATCACACGTTCACGACGATAGCTTCAAGCTTCCCTCGATCGTAGCTCCAAAGTCACACGTCACTTAGCTCTACTACACCCCAAAATCAATCACCATGTCCAAGAAGGCTCCCCTTTTCCTCGGTCTCACTGCTGCCGGCGGTGTTGGCTACTACCTCTACAGCGCTGGCGGAAACCCTACCGCCGCGGAGAAGAAGTTTGAAAGTATGTTTTCCCCTGTCGCATCGTCACCACCTCATTGTCTCTCAAATGCTGACCCGCGTTACCCCAGGTGACGTTCACAAGGCCTCCGCCGAGGTCAAGTCTCACCTCCCCGGACGAACTCCCGACGCCCAGAACAAGGGCGCGCAAGTTGGTGCCAAGTTCGACGATGCCGTAAGTTTACCTCTGCCCTGCCTGCCTCCAACCCAACTCCAATGACCAATCGTCACTGACCATCTCACTAGGTCGCTGAGGCCGACAAGAAGTTCTCTGCCACCAAGAGCAACGTCGAGGCATACGCCAAGGACGCAAAGGCCGAGGCCCTGAAGAAGGTCGACGCCTTTGACAAGACCGTCGAGAAGGAAGCCGCGAAGGCTAAGAGCGGCATCTCCAGCTGGTTTGGCGGCAAATAAGTGCTACGATTAGCATTCTTTTCTTCCCTCTTCTACGTAATGGATCAATCATGATAATGGGCTAGGGGCGGAGTTATAACACGAATCAATCATAATTCTTTGACTCAAGTTCAATTCCTTGAAAGTTCATGGGGCTTCTTCGTGGTATGATGTTCTGCTTGCTGCGTGGTTTTGAAAGTGACCTTTTCTCCTCTATCCCTCCCAACCGACTCAAATTCGATATTTGGTACATATGCTGTTACATAATTCATTTTTCCAATACATCAGCGACCAGCTTCAAGATTACCTCAGTTCCCTTTCTCGCATTGGTGGGCTGTTTGGCAATCGCCTGCCAGTGCTCGCCGTGACGAGGTTCATTCAAGACACACTTGTTAATGACATCCGCTCGTTTTTCCTGAGATTGAGTTAGCTTCCGAGCGTTAAATTCATGGCCAAAGAGGCGGCTACTCACGTCTGTGCCGTGCTGGAGCAAGAACTTGTAATACCAAGCCCAAGTGTCGCCATTGTCGCTGTCCAGCACCAGCGCCTTTTCGAACCAGTTCTGTGCCTTTTCAAGCTTGCGTTCGCCCCAAAAGATTCGGGCCACAGCTACGAACAGGATAGGGTCATTGTCCACCTTCTTGATGGCCTCGAGCGACCGCGGCTTGCGCTGAGTCCGTGGCTCCAAGTGCCAGATCTGCTCACTCCACAAAAGTCCACTCTTGGGCACCTCTTGGAGGGCCTTGGCCATGAGAGACTTGGCCTGGTTGAGGTTGCCTGCCCGCCTTTCAACGCGAACAGATTCGCACCACAGCTCGGCCGATTTGGGGATCGCAAGTCGGGCTCGGTCGAGAACACTGCGAGCCTTGACGACAAGTCCGGCCTTCTCTTCCAGTCGAGAGTAAAGCAGCCACAAGGGAATAGACTTGGACACTGCCTTGACACCTGTGCTGTAGGCCTCGCGTGCTTGGCCAACCTTTTCAAGGTCTTCGTAGATTTGTCCCTTGAGCATCCACAACTTCGCTGTTGCCGGGAAGAATTGCAGCGCCCGTTGGACGAGATCCAGTGCCGCATCGCTGTTGCCCAGCACTCTTTCGAAAACCACACTCTTCATCCACACGCGATCTGTAGGAGCCTGGTCACGGGCTTCCTCCAGCAGCTTACGAGCGCGTTCAGTCTCTCCGTTTTCGGCTTCGAGCTTGACGGCAGCGAGCCAAATGTCTTCGTTATCCGGGTTGGACTTGAAAGCCCTGGCGAGCACCAATCTGGCGTTGTCGACTTCACCGGCTTGCCACTTCTCTTTGGCCAACATCATCCACAGCACCTCGCTCTTGGGGCATGCTTCGACAGCCTTCTCCAAGACTTGAGCGAGCGAATCCTTTGTGCCGTGATTTCTTTCCAGGTCGGCGGCGGCCATCCATAATGTCCTGCTGTTGACGAAAACACGTAGCGCATAAGAATAGATGGCGCGTGCCGTCTCGTACATGCCACGGTTGATGCTGCCTCGGGCGTCCTCCGTCCAGGTGTCTTTGCGGTCGTCGTCTTCGTCGAGACCATAGCCCAGTGTTTCTCTGATAATATTTCCGCACGTAATCACAGCGCCGTCCTCCTCGCATTTTTCTGCCTCGGCAATCCACTCCTCGCGCTTGGGCATAGCGGACTCCTTGACTAGAACTGCAATGGCACGCTTCATGACGTTGACCTTTGTACCCTGGCCAAGCTGCTCCTGTAGTCGAGCAGCCGCAATCCAAATCTCATGAGACGTGGGCACTGCTTTTCGTGCCTTGTTGAGCACCTTTTGTGCATTCTCAGGACTCTCCAGTCTTGCCAAGGCCAACCACAGATCAACGGATAGGGGTATAAGCTCTGTTGCCTTGGCCAGCAGCAACCGGGCATCTTCCGGATCTTCTTCGAGGTTGACCGCTTCCTTCCATAACGCCTCTGATTCGGGAATATGATCCAGAGCAAGTCTGATAACCTTCTTTTTCGCCCTAGGCTCATTCTCCAGTCTCATCGCCTCGACCCAGAGACGGACAGATCGATCATTCTTCTTGATTGCTTCGGCAGCAATAATTTTCGCATTCTTGCCATCGTTGAGTCGAATATTCTCCAACCACACATCCTCGCTCTTGGGGCAATGTGTACACCCGCGTGCTATCACATTGCGCGCAGCGACCGTCTTGCCCGCCAGTTCCTCCAAGCGCGCCGCAGCGATCCAACCAGGCGCGTTGTTCGGGTTCGTTTTGATGACGGATGTCAACAGCTCGCGTACACGGTTGATATCACCGACCTGAGCTTGCGACTCGTTGAGAACGCTTTTGTTTAAGCTGGTGATGTAGCCCTTGGGATCGATACTCGATGCGCTGCCGCCGACTGATGTTTCGGTTCCGTCCTGGGACGCTTGCTCGAGTCTGGATTTGAGAACCTTGTCTCTGGCGGCACCAATCTTGGCAAAGTTCGTCATCGTGCCGTCCGCTTGTTCGGAGCTTGATGCTGCTCCGTCATCCGCAACGGTGGTGCCCAGCTCTGATGAGTCCCTTGCCGCAGCTAGAACGCTGTCTGGAACCGCGTAGAAGCGTTGGCGCAAGGTTTGCTTGCTTCTTCTGTTCTTTCCTGTCAGATCTCCAACTTCAGGGAGGTTCGCCCACTCATCGTCGGTGACTGTCGATAGTGCTCTCTTGAGATCCGCGAATTGTTGTTGAATCTTGGGGTTCTTCCGTTCGTATTCGTCTTGCTCGGCCTTTTCACGCGCTTCTCTTTGCTTCTGTCTCCTCCTTGCCATCTTCTCGTCAACCTCTTGCCATATCCTGTCGGCCTCCTCGTCATCTTTGTCGTACACGCCACCTGCGAACAGGCCAACTTCGTTATCGGGGTCTTTGAACCGGTCATCGTCGTCGTCCTTCTCCTCCGCCTTCTTGCCGTCGGGGCCTAAGCCGAGTTGTGCTGCGCGCTTGGCGACCGCTTCCTTAATTTGGTCCTCGGTCGGTCCTTCGCGCGCAGGACCCAGGTCTGATCGCGTCGTGAAGCCGGTGGCACCTCTACCAAGACCAGCAACGTAGTTTTCGGGAGCCGGTTGGCTCAGGAAGTCGCGCCTGCCCGACATGATGGCGATTGAACTGGCGGTTCTTCGGGTCGGCAGAAATATTGAGAGGGCGCGCACTACGGGGTTTTGTAGGCAGTCAGTAAAGTAAGGGTTGGAGGCGGCCTCACTTCTTGCTTAGCACCGGTTGCGCAAGGCTGAAGTGGTACTAAAGTTTTTGAGCTGCACAATCCCTGTCGCGACGGGTTGTAGTGGGACATGGGTCCACTAAAATTTCCAAAAGGCTGCCCCTCCATCTTCACCGCAGACTTCGACATCGCGAAGATTTTAGGGTCTCAATCTTCGTGCTACCAGGATACTGTACGCCAGGAGTCGACTGCACTTGAGCACCTCAGTTCCTTCCACATAGCGCTATAGTGCGACAGTCCACACAGTCATCATGGGTAAAGCAAAAGCCGGCAAGCGGAACGCCGCTGCCTCCTCGGGAGGCCCGTACTCTCGACCTTCTCAAAAGACGAACAATGTCTTCAAGTTCAACGTGCGTCGCGTTTCATAAAGACTCTTGGAACTTTGACTGACTGCCGACATAGACAAATGTTGGTCAACATATCTTGAAGAACCCCGGTGTGGCGGATGCGATCGTTCACGTACGCCCAGTCTCCCCCCGTCCAGAACGAACCATGCACTAAGTATGTCTATACAGAAAGCCGACCTTAAGCCCACGGATACTGTCCTCGAAATCGGTCCGGGAACTGGTAACTTGACAGTGAGGATTCTCGAAAAGGCGAAGAAGCTCATTGCGATCGAGTTCGACCCTCGAATGGCGGCCGAAGTCACAAAGGTTGGATAATACGTATCCAATACGATACTCGGAGGCTGACGCGGACCAAAACAGCGTGTGCAAGGGACTCCGGAGCAGCGCAAGCTCGATGTCATGCTCGGAGATGCGATCAAAGTCGAATGGGTTCCTTTTGACGTTCTCATCTCAAACACACCTTACCAGGCACGTTCTCTGAATATTTTCGATACAAGCGCGCGGCGTAGCTAACCTGTCGTTAGATCTCTTCGCCCCTGGTTTTCAAGATGCTCGCGATGCCAAAGCCCCCGCGGCAAGCGATTCTCATGTTCCAGCTCGAGTTCGGACAAAGACTTGTGGCCAAGCCCGGCGACAAGCTCTACGGCAGACTGAGTGTGAACGCTAATTTCTGGGCAACGTGCTCGAACGTGGTGAGTAGATTTACCGGGGAACGCACCTTTGACAGTCTACTGATAAATTGCAATAGATGAAGGTATCCAAGGCCAACTTCAGGCCGCCGCCACAGGTCGACTCCTGCGTTGTTCGCATTGTGCCCAAGCAGGGAGCCGAGCGTCCCACCATCGCCTTCGAGGAGTTCGATGGCCTTCTCCGCGTTGTAAGTAGGGTGACTGTCGCTTCAGAGATCTCATAGCTTACAACCCATTTAGTGCTTCAACCGTAAGAACAGAACCATGCGAGCCAGCTGGCTTGGTACGAAAGAAGTGCTCCAGATGCTGGAGAAGGTCAGTCTCAGGGTGTTCACCTACGAAGATGGAGGAACTAACATGCCATCAGAACTACCGCACATGGGCTGCTTTGAACAACGTGCCCCTAGACGACTCCCTTGTCGAGGACGACGAGGACGACGCCATGGAAATGGACGACGACGCGGACGCCGGCGGAAACGACGACGACGATGTTGAGCCCATGGACGACGACACACCCGAGTTCTTCAAGGAGCTGAACGCCACGGCTGCCAAGGTGCCCGAGAAGACGAAGAGCAAGCGCAAGAAGACCAAGGTCGCGGCGCTTGTGCGGAGCAAGATTGAACGCGCGCTCGAGAGCACCGAGCTCATGGAGAAGAGATCGCGTATGTGCGACGAGACGGATTTCTTGAAGCTGCTTTCTGCTCTCAACTCGGAGGGCATTCACTTTGCTTAGGTGTCCGTCTTACATGGTCTCTGTTGGCGGAAATGCTTTTATAGAACGGCAACTCATGGCCTGGCGTTTGGGCGTACAAAATGAAAGGAGATATCAGGTTGCGGAACAGACATGACGATAGAAAGACTGTGGATCACATTCAATGAAGGATTACTGTGCTTGTCTATGGAACTCGGGTGATTTAATGGTCTGCAAGTATCCTGGTGTCCTTCCTAGTGATGGTGATTCCGTTATTTCTCTTGTTTCTCGTGTCCATATCGCCGTCAGGAACGCTTCTGGAAGCATTCCCGACACTAGGCTGAGATAGACACAACGCGGCATCAACCACACAGGCAAGGCATACGCTGGGTCACAGCTGGCTACTTGACTAACCAGTCGTATCATAAGGTGCCACAGTCGTGTTGATCAATATACGCCAAAACCCTTCAAAATCACAGCACGGCTTACACGGTGCCCAATGAAGATGTCGAGGCACACCGTATCATCTCGAACAGCACCTTCGGATCCCGGAAATCCTTGAGATCATAACAGCTTCATCGAACTCATTTCCTTGCCGAGGTAACTCATCACAGCCTACAACCCCCATCAAGACATTCCCAAATCATCCACGCCGTTTCCTCCGTAGGAGACAGGGGTTGATTCCGGACCAACCAACGCCGAAAGGTCCAGGAGTCATCATTTGTCAGGCCGTCATCATGGTACGCCTTGCAACGGCGATCCTGGCACACTGTTACCATCACTGTCATAAGTTGATTGGACCTTTTTGTTGCCATGAGCTCTCGAATCAGCACTCACCTCGAGGCGAGCCGCGAAAGTGTGCCTACCTACTCGCCCGATATGGACAACTTCCTTTTCCACAAATACACGCTCGACTTTGCACCACCACTCCCCTCCATTGATCCGGATTGGACCGGTGGAAGAGGAAAGCCTCGCACCTATTTCGGGGAGGATAGGAAAGGAAAGGAAAGGGAAAGGGGGGGGTTCAGCCACCTTACCCAGGTCTACATCCAAGTATAGGGTAGGTAGATATCATGATACGCCTCATTTGGGAGGAGCATAGAGCAGATAGGTAGGTACATTAACCACCGTCAAAAACCGGAAGGAAAACAGAAAATACGTATCATCAGTAGTAATTAATAGGAGGAAAAATGGAAGATGCAGGTGCGGGCCCAACGTGGCTCTGTGCATGCAGTTCAGTTCTTTCCCAAGAAAAAAGTGTGAGACTTGACAGCAAAAAGAGGAACAAATTACAATAGGCCACGCCCACGCTCACCCAATCCGAACTGCGCCTTATACCACCACCACCAAAGTAAACAGGACCAAAACCTCCCGCTCAAGGCCGCAAGACGCATAGGTACTGATGCCAGGTATCGGGCGGGTGGTGAGCATGAGCAAGAGAGAGAACCAGGCTGCCTTACCCGCGCGGATTGCGTTCCCGCCAGCGCATCGCGACGAGACGAAGCAAGGCCCGTCCCATCTGACAGGCGCCCGCCGCCCTTTGTCTTTCCCAGAATGGCGGGCATACCTACCTTACCCAACCAGTGGGATGCGGGTGGGTTGCGTAGGTAGTTTGGTCTTGAGGTTGTTCGTCTGCCTAATACCTAGGTAGACCTACCTACGTACCTACCTCTCAAACTGAACCTCCAAAAGAGGTGTGGAACGTCATTACATACTAAACTGCGACTGTCCCAACCTATAGACTTCCGGGTTCCTGCGCAGATGATCAACGCCCGCGGCCGGCGTGCTGACACCGCCGGGGGGGGGGGGAGTTGGGGTGTCGAGGGATTCGGTAGGTGGAAAGGAACTTTCTCTAGGTATTCCTTGGAAGAATCAACATCACGCGCCGAGACTGGAACAGCTTGCTTCACGGACGTGGGAAACGTTGACGTGGTTTTGTCTCTTCTATTTCACGCTTCTCTATATGTGTGGGGGCCAAGGAAGGCATCTGGTTCGGCCTGCCAAGTCTGTGGGAATGGATGGTATGAGAGACAGGTCACGGAGTGAGGACAGCCAAGACGGGGAACGCCAGCAGAGACGAGCCGTATTTCTCGCCAGACAAAAGCAACTTGGGCTTTCCTGCTTGGCTTTCACCTATGACTGGTGATGTGAGCCACGCGGGTTGGGAAAGTGCTCACCACTTCGGCACCATCGCACGGGAGGGTGAGACCTGCCAGGCCTACCGATCCTCCCGAACACCCTTTTTAGACGGGCGGAATGCTGCAACATAGATTCTGATGTATCGGTACGGAGCATCATCCTCTCTGCGCCTGACTGAGCCACATTTTGGCGGTGCTCACTTCCCTCTCGTGCAAGGTAAGCAGAGCAGGAGTCTAGAAGCTAGAGGCAGCGTCTTCGATGCAACGTGGAGAAGAGCCGAAAGAACGACCTGTCAGCGCCGCAGCGGCCTACTCAGCGTTTCTGTCGTACAGCATCAGCTGCCAGATCAGCCGTTCGTCGGGTTTCGGTGCTCAGGATGGCCGGTGAGCACCTCGGTCGAGGCGGGCACGGCGGGGAACGGAGCCTGTCACTCTGTCTCGCGGGGGCCGCCGCGGCCCATCATACGATGGGCCAGGACCGCAAAGAGACTGGCGTCGATGGAGAGAGCAACAGCAACGGACATGGCCCAGATCCCACTCTTGCACAACCATCGCTACAAAGGCGGCGATGACTATGCGATATGAGTAATGGGCAGGAGCGGGAGACGTCAAACCAGCTTGGTAGCCTTCACCGCGCCTGTCTAGTCGTTTTCTTCCGCCTGTTCCCCAGACTGTGGGATCCTAGGGGAACGGCCGACGACCAATCGAACGTCGCAAAAGCCCCCAATAGCCCGGTACCATCAGGGCATCATGGGCGGGTGGGTTTTATTGTGACGTTCTGTCGGGAGCCTGGGGCCAGTGCAACTTGAGAAATGTCTCAGGTCATCCAGAACCCAAGCACCCAAGATAGCGGCCCCCCAAACTCAGAGCCCAAGGATGATTCACGTGGGAGATGCAGCCAGTCGTGTGCCTGCCACGTCGTCCACTTGGCCGTTTGTGAGAGGCTCGAGGAAGCTGGCGGGAGAACGTTGGCTTGATCTTGATCTGCTGACCTGCAGACACTCGGTTGTTGGCAAAGACAGACTTCTTGTCGACAGCCGTATTCATAGGCAGAGATGAGAGAGTACCAAAAAAATAATCTTGGACCCAATGGGGTTTCTGCCTCTTGGATACAGAGTTTCAAATGCCATTATTCGAAAGTGTTGTTTCTTGACGAGATAATCGATGCGAAGTACCACATTTCAAGTAGATGGAGTTGTGGCTAGTGTCGAAAAGGTGGGAATATGCCCCCGGCAAGAACCTTCTTATGTTCAAATGTTGAGGTATCTAACATAACACCGCCATTTCGACTTCAATGGTCGACCATTGGAAGCGAGCAAGCAGGCATCCGATCGCGGCGGGCGTTATGACCCATGGATTGTAAATCGTGGTAAAGGGCGGAAGTGTAAGTTGTGCCTGGTTAACTAAGATAGGGTAGAAGCCTCATCAGACATGCGTCAACTTCAATAGTGCTTCGGCACCAGGTCCGAAGCCCACGTAAAAGCCCTTGATTTGTTTGTAAAGTACCCGTATGGAGCAGTGGCATGCGTGCAACGTCCCCGCCAGGACACCAAAAGCCACAGCACGACTGTTTGCTGTCAGTCTGTTCTGTGACTGTTTCTCAAGTTGCGGTTAACCGCGAGCTAAGCAGATTGTGTGGTAGCGAAATGGCGGCAATCAAACGACTTATTAGAAATTTGCTGAATATCCCTGAGTTCTTCCATGCCTTGGACTTGGTACACCGTACCCGAACTTTGGAAATGGCAAATTTTGAAGCAAGAGATGCGCCAGACTGCAGGTCCCGGCCGTGTTCCCGGTCCTCCAGTTCCTGACTAGAGCACTTGCCTCCCTTGGCCCTGGGAAATGCACCCACAGCAGCGCTGATATCAGCCAAGATAGAAGACTCGAGAAGCCGAGTGTGATTACGGATAGAGACAAAAGAACCCAGTGGCAGTGAATGTACTTTGTAGACGGTGGTCGATGGCAGCGATGAGATTGCAACTTTGTACCCGTACTCCGTACTTCGTAGTGTATTTCGCAGAAGCCGGATTCTTCTGCCTGGGAACAGGGGATGGTGACGAGAAGTCTGAAGAAGACCAGGGGCCTTCATTGGAAGGAAGGTGTCCCGAGGTCCCACGAAATCCGATTCTAAACAGCGGTGATGGCTCCCGGGGGGGTCGGTGACAGGCCGCCGGTGCAACAGAATGGACGATGGGAGAAAGAAAGAAAAAAAAAACACGCCAAAGGCAAAAGCAAGAGGGGTGGATTCCTGGATGGAGATCAGCTGCGCCGTGTGTCCTGGCTTTGCCTTGCCTGGACCCCGGGGGAGGGCAAGGGGGGCCGACGAGGAAAGTTGCATCCAGAAAAATTCCAGATTGCGGATGGGCGAGTTTGGGCGTCGTGGGCCAGAGCCTTGGGCTGCATTTGACATCCACTCTTGTCCACAGCCCAGCGGGCAGACTTGGGTGGGTGGGTGACTAGATTCCTGAGAAAGTGTTAATATGGAGAAAAGCATCCGGGAAAGAATTGCGGTCTGAGGCATCCCGCGTGGTTTCAGGGGTTTTGCTGGTCGCAGTCTCTCCTAACTTCCTAAACTTGTTCGGCCTAAGCAATTTGTTGGAGGGAGAAAGAACTCTACCTTACTCCGTACACTAGAAGAAGTGAGGCAGAGCCTTTTCGGTCAATGAAAAAGAGAGACATGGAGACCAAGGGCCAAAAGGGTGCTTTCCTTTGTACCTCTGTACGGAGTACTTCGTGCCTCATCTTGTACCTCCAAGGAACCTGGAAGACGGGACTCCTCCCCGCGAGAGTGGTCCATGTCTAGCGGCAACAAAGGAACGTACCCAGAACTTCTGAAGTATTCGTCCCAGGTAGGTCACTCCGTACTCCGTATCGTTGGAAAGGAAAGCAAGGTGGACAGGTACGTACCGTAGGCCGGTCGCGACTGTTGCAAACTCCGAGGTTGGGCACCTCATGCTGGTCGCTGGTGCAGTGGTGTTGACGTTGTGCCTGGCACCGGCTTGGCCTGGCACCCTACCACCCGGGGACTGGCAGTGACTGGACAGTGGACGCACAGGTGAGAATTGATGGGACCTACCTGATTTTCTCCCCTCTTTTTTTCTGCCCCCCTCCTCGCAGTCGCAGAGTCCCAGTTGGCAGTCGCAATATTCCCTTCCATCGCCCGCCGGGCCTTCCGCCTTTTGCTCTGTGTGACGCTATGCTGGGACCTGCAGCAGAATCGGGTCCATTTCTCGCGTTGGCTGCTGAAGGAACCCGTCCGCTGCGCCGCCCCTCTCCAGTCTCCAGTCTCCAGTCTCCAGAGATCCGATTTTTCTGTTCGGCGGAGAGGAGAGGAGGAGAAAGCCCAGGATACCACTCACCACGACCCGTATACGCAATCCGTTACCCGGCAGGACTGGACAAGACGATACGTCGAGCACATGGCTTGAGCCCTTCCGCCCACGGCACGCCGCACGGGAAACCGAAGAAGACAGAATCAGAATCGGCTGAGACGGGAAAAGCTTCGTTGCTGACTTGTTTTGATGGGTCCAAGACCGAAGCTTCTGATTGCTGCGGACTTTCAGGAACCCTTCCGCGGTGCCTCGAGCACCAAGCTCCCTCAGACCTAGACCTGTCCATGTCTCTGTTGGCCCTTACGCTCTCCAAGAGGCGCCGAAGTTGAGCAGAAACATTTCTATGCCAGGATGGAGCTGGGAGGCGAGAGAAAAATTCGTGGGAAGTACTCCGTACTTTGTATCCGTACCTGAGGTTAAGGAGGGATGGAGACAAAGACGAGGAATGGAGGGATACGGAAACGATATCGACTGGTAATAAGAGACATCAAGCATTCAAAGGAGCTTAGGGGACGCGCATCAGGGTCGCCCTTCCCTTCATGAATTGGTGCTATTAGGATTTTGCTTTTTTGAATTTTTCTCTCCCTCACCTTTTTCATTTTGGGTTTCTTGTTTGTCACTTGTCTTGCTGCTCCTTACTCGTTGCCCTGGCATGTCTTTGTCACCTCACCCACAGAATCTATGATAGGGCAGCCTTTCTGAGGGGCCTCTGTCAAAACGGTTGTTTGCTTCACATCCGCGCCGTTCCTTTCAAAGACACCCTGCCTCGTGGTTGGTCGGCCGGCTCCAGGGCATGGTTTAATAGCAAATGTGTGTGTATGATGGACGGATGATGGGTAGGTAGGATTGTGTCTATACAAGTCGGCTTGATTGCACGGGAAGCGGCAGTATACCACACATGCTTACTGTGTGAAAGTACATAGGTAGGCACCGGGAAATCTCGATGACATCTGGGGCCTGTCCTATAGAGTACGGAGGTGAGAGTCCAGTGTTAGAAGAGGTTCATCGGAGGGAAAATCAACTCTTCTCACTTCCGGCGGAGTGCCCAGTGACGGCAGCGGCAGCATCTGTGCTTCGCCTTTGCCCTCTGGAGAAGAATAGGAAGTAGCAAAATGCGCCCCAGAGCAGCCAGAGCAGGGCGAGTCGGTTACTTCGAGCCAAGTAGTCGCAGATGTATCCTCGTACCTGCCCTTTTGATGACCGCGGCCGGCCCCCGGCAACAGCAAGGCGCATGGGTCCTCGCGGGAGGTTGGCTACTTGTCAGTACGTACCGACCACATCGCGAGCCTTGTAACTAGGTACCTTTCGTACCTTCCTGGCTGCTCCCCTTGCAAACAAGGCACTACTTTCCGGCAGGTGCTTTCTCAACCTTGGGCCGCTGAGGTCTCTACCGTCTCTCTGAGACTCACTCACTTGCTGGGCAGGTCGTAGGCGTCACACGCTAAGAGCCCGCTCCTTACCGACCGGTCCATCCCAGCACACACCACCCGGCCGACCTTCTCTCTTCCAACCTTAGGAGGTCCTCCCCCCCATTCCCCAATCACCCAGTTGCCAGCACCAACAAGTGCCTCCCTCACCAAGCACCGACGCCATCCATCCATTCACCAGTGCCAACGCACACAGCAAATTTTGGCTTTGCACTGACTGACCTTACTGACCTCATTCCCGTCTGGTCTCCCACCTCACACATCCACCACCTCCAGCCGTCTTCGTCTTCGTCTTTTACATCAGACACACCACACACTCCCCTACTCAACTTACACCACCACACTTGCTTTCTTCCCCCCCCTTCCAATCCCCTCATTTAGAGCTTCGTACTCTTCGTTGTCAACCCATATTCTTTTCTACCAGGAAACATTCTGCCATCTCACTCTCACTCTTGTGTTTCTGTCAAACAGCTCCACAGCAGCCCAATCGCCAGTAGCTTAGCACCCCGTCAACCACGAAACCTAGACACGACCGCGCATTCGTCTTGCCTCAAATCGGCCCCAAAGCAGCACAACAACCACTCGCACGATATCTCCAGATTCCCGATAGGGTCTCAGTCTTCCACCCAGAAATCCATTCTATCCCACGTCGCATTGTCGAACATCATGATAGGCCTGCCTCCGAACTACGACTGCCGGCTCCCGAGTTAACAATACCCACATTCGATTGGTATGAAGACTAGACGAGGCTCCATTCCCTTTGCTGTCTCACTTGAAAATCCTCGGCCATGGAAAAGACATTCAGCACCACGAACGGGCCCTCTGACGCAAGCAAGTCACGCATAGAACACACAGAGACGACCATCACTACTCCCTCGACCAACGCCGCCGAGACCCAACCGCACTCTAAACACTCCTCCGCCACAACGTCTTTAACCCCATCACCACACAACTCCCGCGACACCTCCCCGACACGAAAGGCACAGAAGCCCGTCAATACGCCTAAATCGTCATCCACGCCCGGCCTGAGATCGCGCAAGAGCAGCCAACAGGACTTGACTACAGTACGAACGCCCAGATCAAATACCAACAAACCAGGACCAGCGACGTCGTCCAGGACACTCTCCGCAGCGACAACTCCCACTTTACTCCCGAACTCCCAGGAATCCTTCCTTAAATCTATCAACCCTCAGAAGGTCCCCCTCAATACTGAGGTAGCTCAAACGAGAGGCAGCCCTCGCTGGCCTGTATCGCCTCGCTTGCGCTCGCCCCCTCCTCAGCTTAATAAACCTCAAATCCCACCTATTGCACGAAAAGGCGAGCAGGAAGCCCCGAGAATAGATCTCACGAAAGCCTCTCCTTCTCCACAACCGGAACCCCTCCCTTCCATGTCAGAGAGCGAAACCGACGACTCGCAACTACCATCTGGCGTGCGGACACCAGTAACCGTAAACGGCTCGACTTTGGAAACAGTACAGGAAGTAAGCTTGCCGAATTCGCCAGGTCAAATGGACTCTACGCTGGAACAGGTCAATGAGAAGTTGGCCCACGAGGCTGCTGTGAGTGCCGAAAGCCTGGCAACGCAAATGGACAGCAATCGCACCATTCGCCTTAGCAGGGGAGCCCTCCAGGCCCACGACAGCATGGGCGACAACGGAACACTCAGAGTGCGATCGCAGAGTACCGCTCCTGTTCCGACCGTTACGCGACAGTCTAGTGTGCTGTCCAACAAGCAAGGCAAGAGCAAGGCAACTGGAGAAGGGTCTTCCCTCATAGTCGAGACGGAAACAGTGTCGTCTATTCCACAGGTGGCATTGGCACCTGCTTCTAAATTGGAAGCCAGCAGCGGCACACTCAGGGCGAAGCCAAGTACCGAGACGATTAGGCCCAAGAAAGACAAGAAGAAAACAAGTCGGAAGCAACCTACAGTCAACTCTGGCAACGGTGAGACACCAGATTCAATTTTGTACTCTTCCAGGACTCTTCGACATCATCAGCACAGTCTGCGATCAGTGTCTGCAGCAACTGATGCTTTGTCGCCGCTTGAAACAACGTTTTCGGGGCCGCAAGCAGAAATTGTGCGCCCGCGGCAGTTTCGATATCGCATCTGTATTTTCCTTTGCAGCTTACCCATCATACGCACCATACCATTTATGAGCAATTTACTGACTAGACTTGAATCAGCATCGTCAAAAGCAGATATTTTTGAGGCTAAAGTGGCCAGCGCCGTTGACGAAGCAAATACGTCAGACTCGGAAGAGACATTCGTTTACGATAGCAACCCTCCGGATGTTGAAAACAGGCGCAGATTCCACTCGCGAACGCCTAGTGCTACTTCGATGATTAGCCAGGCCGACAGACCTGGCGGTATGGGGATGCGCTCGATTCACGAGGCTCTACAGGGCAGCGGCGCCGCCGCCGCAGCTGTCGGGCTGAAAAAGAGTATGAAATTCGTCAACACGTTCAACAGCAACGGAGCAGAGAGCCTTGGCGTCGATGAAGATGGTAAGGGCAGTGGCAGGAGTGTGGGCCCTGGGTCGGGCAGAGGTACGAGTCGGCATCACCACCACAATCACTTTGGTCGCTGGGGTCGACAGCCAGGAAACTCACACCCCTCACTTTTCGACAACGAATCACTCTTTCCAAATGCTGCTCGGTCTAAGCTCTCGGGCAACACTTCGAGACAGTCATCCGGCCCCCCTAGTCCTAGGGTTGCAAGTTCCGCTAGAGGCGGACCGCACGCGCTCGGAAAGCGATCATCCATTCAGATGGCTCGTTATGATGCGGCCGATGATACCACGAC